CCTAAACCCTAAACCCAAACCCAGTTCCCGGTTCTCTCCGAGGTTCTTCCACGCCAACGCGGAAGACTTGGGCATGACGTTCTCGATTCTCCGGCACCTCCGAGATCAGTTCAAAGTGACATGGCCATACACCGTATAGGGTTCCTTATCATCAGGGTCTCTGTAATTAGGCTTCTTTCAAGGGCTCAGGGCTGGATGTTGGGTGTAGGGTATCGGGTTTACGGCTTTGGGCGTTCTTTCGCCCCAAACCCTCAACCTTAGAACCTAAACACCAAATGCTTCCACTCTTGTATCAGCCCTTACATCCTAAATCCTATTTGTTCCAAGTTCTTCAAGACAAACTTTTCTTCCCCCAAACCGACAATCCAAATGCCTCTTGGAGGGTCGGGGGACTTATTAGCTAGTTATTCTAAGGACTTCTAAGCAGCATATCCCCAATTAGGATCTCTTTTAGGGTACTTGTAACTCTACTTAGTAGCTACTTACTAAGTCCCCCGACCCTGCAAGTAAACCCTGAAATCCTGTAGCCCATGGATCATGGAGGGTTCGGGCTTTTGGGGCCTAGGGTTTGAGGGTTTAGGGTCTACGGCTTGGGGCTAGAACCGAATCTAATATTTGTGGGGTTCTGGTTTGGTGCTGTACTCTACTACAGCCTCAAACCTACGGCAACTAGATCTTTGCAAACCAGTTTTTTAAGTCCAGCTCAATTTGCCATATTGTACAAACAGCTTACAGCCCAGTTACGAGCCCTGCAGTCAGAGAACTTAATAGGTTCGCAGCGGGTTAAAGTGCTACTAGTCAGCTGAAAAAGTACCCTGAACTTCCTTTTAAGGCTCACGTCGTCTTTAAGGTCAGGAATACGTCTAAGGGCCCCAAAACTACAACCCCGAAACCCTAAACCCTAAACCCCTAAACCCTATACCCTAAGGTGATATGATAGTTATATGTTTCTGTGCTGTACATTCGGATCTTCGGGTCGTCAGTCTGAGTCTGAGTCATCGTCTAGGTTCCTGAGTAGTACCTTTTTGCCCTTTTTATTGTATTGGTTTAGGGTTTAGGGTTTTGTTCCCTGATTAAAACTGAATAACAGGAAAAAGGGCACCCTTATTATTAAGGGCTCACTCAGGGACTTAGTTGTAAGGGTCCGTGCACGTGACGAACATGAGGCAGGAATCCAGAGCACGCATTGCAGGCTTTGGGGTTTAGGGTGTTTAGGGCTTAGG